AAGATTTTATTGTATACAAATTAAATATTATTTTATTAAATAAATAATACCCTACATTTGTGTTTCCCCACCCCCACCCTCCGAAATTTGTTGATTGTTTTTTCTTTCTACCATGATTCAACCAAACACGGTTCAGCCACACACGTCATAGCAGAGCCGTAGCCACGAGAAGTGAAATGGTCAGGTTGCAAGCGAAGCGCGAACACTGATGATTAGGGCTAGGGGGCCGCCAAGGGCCCCAGGTCGGAGTTCATGTTTCCGGGGCCAATAAACTGTAATATTATTGTAAACCATTAAACTGCAATATTATTAACATTAAGCCATTAAACTGTAATATTATTAACACATAACATAAAACATGTACATATCAAAATTATTATGTTTAATCTTTCCTTGTCGATGCTTGCATAAAACGTGATTTGGATCTAACATGATGATATTGATAAAAAATCGAAATTCTCTGTACAATATTATGCTAAACATTTACAGAATGGACTTCCTTATGTTGTGGTCATATTAGACTGTAATATTATTATTAAAGAAGTTCATTCAACAAACAACATAAAACATATCAATTTATTGCGTTAAAGTTCTCATGTCAGTGCATGCATAAAACGATTTCCTAATATTTGGATATCTGAGATTGGCAGACAAAATTCTCTATAGTATATACTATATACTAATTTAACGAGTGGACTTCCTTGATTTAAGAAAATATATAATAATGTATATTGAGGTACGCAAAGTTTAGTAGGTTAGAAGTTTAAAGGAGAGGATTTCCTTATGTTGTGGTCATATTAGACTAATAATATTAAAAACCATTTAACATAAAACATATCAAAATTATTAAGTTAAACTTTCTACTTCGGTGCATGAATTTAACGTAATTTTGGGATATATGAGATTTACATAACATTTGAGAATGTACTGAATATAAAATCTTAAATATTTTACATTTAATCAGCAATCTATCAGAAATACAGGGATTGGTTATACTGTAAAGCCTTCAGAACCCCTGCAATACTGGGATGCAACAGGCAGTGAATATTTCATTTTGATTTAGTGTAGATGTTTTTTACATATTTTTAATTTTATTTGAATTCTTTTCATTTTGTATGGTCCATATGTTATATTTTCCACATACAGATAAATGAATACGGTACCTGAACTGATATTTTATGGGTTTCAGATTACTATATACAAAACAGATATCATAAATCATCATTGTCCGACTGTGTGCATTGAACATTTGACGACGACGATGTCTCCAAATTCCCAGCCGTAACTTAGGCTACCGGCCTCGTTTGACACTTCACAACAAAGGGCATGTTAATTAATCTTGCACAGCTTCCTCATCATCATCATCATATTCTTCATCATCATAATTATTAATTGTCCATAGCAAAGTAGTGAAAACATATGAATTCAGAGTGTATTCAATAATAGAAGTCTCATAATGCACGAAGTGTATTTCAAAGAATCTACAAAACAAAAACTTTTCGAGTATCTAAAATTTATCTTCCAGCGACAAAACAAGCTAGCTCCCTTCTCATGACCATCCCAATATGGCAACCCATCTGTGCGAGCCAGGGTAAACTCTGAATCCGCGCTTGACATGTATTTAATGCTTAAAAAAGGTATATTTACAGTATATTTATTTATAGAAAATAATGTTGCATACTAGCACTATCAGGAATAAATATACAGATAAAGGCTCCCGAGTGGGCATAGACACAAAACAGCTTATAATTCAAATAGCACCTCCCTGGTTCACATCTCTTTCGAATTCCTGGATCAGGTTGTTGATTTATTATATAATTATTGTTGCACGTATTTATAATACAATTTATATTGCAATTTTCACTTTATCCTCTCAAAACAGTCCTAAGAACGTTCAGATTGCGCTACTTCACAGGGTAATTCTCCCCTGGACCCCGCCGGGGTCGTACGTAATTCGCATAACGCCCCCCCCCCCCACTTTCAAAATCCTGGCTACGTCCCTGCTATAATTACATCCTAATATTTAGTTACAACACTTCAAGCATCCATCCTCAAAAGGCCTACTTTTTTCTCAAATTCACTAAATGTATTTGATTTGTATGAAAAACATGGCAATATTTATTTTTCAATATCATAGACATCAATTACCAATCACCTTTGACGAATATTTTATTACATCCATAATTATGAAACTATAAAAATAAAGAAAACCTTGTAACTATACTTAAACACACTAAGGTAGGCCAACAAAGCATTGCATTTCGTGGACCAAAAATATGGAACAAACTGTCAAATCATTTTAAACAAAAAAAGAAAATAGGAGCTTTCAGAATTAAATTTCTTCCTTTTTTATGATTCAAAATCATATTGACTCTTATATTTGTATATAGGCCTATTTATTTTTCCCAAAGTTTGTCAATTAAAGACAAAATATGATAGTTCTATTTACATGTTAATATGTCATAGGCCTATTTGTGTATAAATTAATACCTTTACATTAGTCTACTCATCGCCTTTTAAATATGTTAACTTTCACATCTACGTCTACATCTGAATTAATATTATAAGTACGGTAAAATCAAAAACAGTTATATTATGATAGTTGATTATCAAATTACATTATGTTAACTTTTACATGATCCACTTATATCTGAATAATAATCATGTCACTTGCTATTATTAAGGTATTATTATTATGGTAGGCCTATTATTATTAAGGTATTATTATTATTATTATTATTCTATTATTATTATCAGTATTAGTGTTGTTATCGTTATTGGTATTATTAATTATTATGCTTTTTTTTAATTTGTTTATTTTTCTGTTTCCATTTTTATTTATCAGATAATATTTACATTATTACCACTATTTTGTGTACCGTACTACATGTAAATAATTGTATGGTTTATACTTCGTAATTATAATATAATTAATCAATATATCTTCATTTGTCAGGCGCAACATTTCAAAGCTTTGCTTCTTGTAGTTGCCTTTTTCCAAATATAATTTTATTTTCAATTGTATTACATATATATGTGACACTCGTATAGCGCATAATGCACGATAAAGCTTCTGCTCACATAAAATAAAACACAAAAAAATAAACAAAAACAAAAAATAACGAAAAATGGTACAAACCAAACGAAAATGCAGAATCTCTGAGGGGTCAGATTTCATTTGCATTTCTTTCCGATCATACAAAAAATCTCCAGACATCATATATTTTTTGCCAAACAGTCCCCCGGTTCAGCCGGCCATGCGTAGGGATGGTCACCAAGGCAGGGAACCACCAAGAGAAAATACAGGCAAATTTATCTTGTTAAGAGAGAGGCCGTAAATGCTCGAATAAGTGCCGTTCTTGAATAAGCGCCGCGGCGTTTAATCGAGAGTTATTACCCTGTGTAGAAACACTCTGAGAAGCAGGGCTTTATATACAATGTATACAGTGTTAAAATGAATAAATGACCGTAATGAAGACACAAGCATTTCTTTATAAACGCAGGCCCTATTACGATGACGTACGACCTTAACTTCTAACTAAAATCCAAGCGCATGTGACATTTTCCCCCTTTTCAATTCAACAGCATTTTATAATTATGCTATGCATTTATTATGTATATTTTTTCACGCAAGGGTTACAAATTACATTAGAACCCGGATTAAAACTAGTTTGTTCAATTCTTCAGGAAAACATTTGTTAAAACTTAGGGTTTATTGTTTGTAAACAGAATATAATGTTGTCTGTAATCTCTTTCATTAAGAAAAATAAAATTATGAATTATGAACACTTTCTTACAATGTCCGTATATGCCGCTTTAGATCGGACGTCCAGAAGTGCAGAAGCACTTCAAAAGCAGCTAGCTTCATGCATTTTTAATATTAAAATAAAGACATTATAATTGTTGATACGCTAAACACGCATGTAAAAATGTTCGCCTTTAAAATCAGATAGTGCGCAATAATATATGTTTGTAATTTAGTAATTAGTTATGGAGGAACATTAGTAGTACATGTTTACATGACAAAATACTGTATAGGACTAGGAATATGCACTGAATTACCTATAAAAATAGAAGAGAGGGCGTCGTTCAGGTGAAGAATCATGGGCTTTCCATCCCATAATGACGTAGAAATTGCTTTTCAGACACGCCCAGTTTCAAACATTTATTGACCGTACGTATTAATTCGTCCTCTCGTATTGTTTGCGCATATGCAGATTGAGGGGATGAATATGGAAACTTACAAGTAAACATTGCTCAATACCAATGGATTTAGATGAGGACAAGTTTATGCTAGTAGAATGATCAAATGCCTTTTATGAATTTGAAGATGAGTGCAAAGTTATCCTCTTATTTCATGAGAATAAGAATTTATTTCTCGTCACTCAATACTAAAACATTGCATAAACCAATCGTGTTGCATTGATACATATGCGCATGGGCAGAACTGGTAATCGGTCACTTGGTGTACAATATCACTTTGTGTCTTAGCACACTGGCTCACAGGAAACCTACTTTTGCTGTATTCCGAGGGTGGTTTGGGGTAAAAATTTGGGTGATAGAACGGTTAGCAGGGACTGAGGCTGAACGATACTGTCAAACATTACCTTAGGTATAAGGGTCAGGAGATTCAGGGGAAGGAGTGTAGTTGGTTTGGTGTATACGCTTCGCCAAACTTCGGCACTCAGTACGCTGAGAATATTTTTCTTACCAAGATGGCGTGCTGTATGAGCGAAGAGGCGAAGGAAGCAAAACGTATAAATCAAGAAATCGAAAAGCAACTTCGAAAGGATAAAAGGGACTCAAGACGAGAGCTCAAGTTGCTATTACTAGGTAGGTATGTGTTGCATAAGACCCTTACAAATGGCTAGCTTCATCGTGAATGTCGAGGGAAATCCGAGGGGTGTGTACCTATTTTTATCTGATCGTCGGTGTAGTGGCGGTCTGCTGGCCAACCAACTGAGTGCAGCACAGCGATGTGTATGGGCACACACCTAGAGAGCAATAACAGATTTATGGCTGTGATAGCAGAAATATGTTAATAAAACGAAGTTTGTACCTATGAGCGTTTATCTCTATAATGCAGGAAACAAATTTTCATTCTTGGATTGTCATAATATTGTGTTGCATCAGGCTACGTGGTATATGCCCTTTCTTTAGGCTACATTTTTCACTGTCAAATCATGGACACAGCAGTTGTTTGCAAAATGCAATTGCATTGACTGACCAGTCAATCAAGATGTTTCAAAACCATTGCCTTCTTCCTAGGCTATTTCTATGTATCAACAAATATATCAACATAGATTCTGAGGCATCCACATTGATATGTTAAATAAATTAACAGAATATTAGGGGATTTTACCATCCAGTATAGCAATATGAAAATAGAAAATGGTTATTTTTTCATCATGCCATCATGCATTAATAATTTAAAGCACCATTCCCTGCATATTTTCACAAAAGAAAAAAATTGTTTCAGAGAAAATGCATGCATTTTAGTTTTTTACACTTGATAAAAGGAAATAGGGTACCATTTTCTCAACAACTTCTTACTAGGCAAACTCGGAGGTTGTAGATCGCTATCTGCTGTTATCCTCTCGTCAGCTGTGTTTTTTTTTTTTGTTTTTTTTTACTTTATACAGTCAAGCATCTGAGGTAGGCAAGACTTTATTGTAATTTATTTTGTGAACCCGGCGCATCCTTCTGGTATATTTATCTCGCCCACCAGTGCCATAAACTCAACTGATGAGGTATTTTAATTCATCCCAAAATTAATTAGACATTAATTAATCCAATCTAAAGAACTGATTACGTCACTGATACAATTTTGAAGGAACAGAGTGCACCCTCTCTAAATTACATTAGTTTTTAAACCTATGTTGGCTGTTTTATGTCTGATAACAGAACTTGGAATCGAGGTAAGGCTAGGCCTAGCCGAGCAATTGCTGGGCTAACGTTTTTGGCGCCTACTATATTTCTTCACTGATAAACTAGACATAGTTCATTTATTGCATTTATGTCACGTTTGTTTTGCCATCCACAGAGGGTTTTATTTTGCCTTTTGTTCATGTTTAGGAATGTTTCAATTCAGTTGAAGTAGCATTTTCTTATATAAATTTATATACTTTCTAATAACACAGCAAAATCAAATTTTTCTTCAAAAATTAAATTCTGCCAGGACTGGGGCTTTAAGATGAGTAAAGCTGTTAAGGTTAGGGTCAAGCCAGCTCCACCAATCAACAACTCAAAATCATTGGAAACCATATCAATGGCAATATAAATATTTATTGATAATATTGTAATTGCAAAACCTTTGACCTTGAATTTCTGGTAAAATTGTTCAGCGCAATGGTAGTATGGTATAGTGAGAAACTTGTCAGTAGAAACCGGCATACAGTACTATAAATCTGAGTAATATAAGCGTCCCCTGTGTGAACCTCCCTATAATTCAGACCTAAAATGTTTTTGTGTCATTTATGTTGGTAGTGTATTAACTGCTCTTTTTCAAAGTATGTTCCAAAATCTCATAAAATACGGATCTAATCAGTATGTTTAGTTATCATCACGACTCATTTTGTAGATTTTATTAAACGTAATTGTGCTGAATGTTGGGCTGAAAAGTAATGTTTATTTATTTATTTTGAAATTTGTTAATGGGAGCCCAATAATACTTCTTCACTTGTTGCCCAGAAGAGATGGTTGTTTTGTGACCCAAAAACGCCTGGCTACTATAACTTATCTAGGCCTAGGAAGCCCCTAGCTACGCCCAGGCCTACAGAAAAATACTGACACCACTGAGCACCAACGTTTATTACCAAAATGAGACACATCCTATCGTAACTTGCTATATTAAAAAGTCACAAAAATTGCACATACGTATTAAAGATACATTAATTTTTTAAACTTACTGTAAAAACGGAGATCATACTAAAAATCCAAAATTTCCAATGCATTTTTTAAGTACGTGTAGTGAGCGAGATATGTGTGTCATCCACACGGTTAGCGGATAGCGACCAGCATATGACGTCATAAATGATGATGTATACGTCACTAACATATGTGTAGTATACGTTTGCATGCGAAACCTCCCTATTATCACTGTCCTACTTGAACATTAATTCCGTATGTGCCTGTTTGATCCTGATTTTGCATCGTGGTCACTTCATAATTATGAGATCCCTTGCAATATTATTTTATATTATATTCTTTTATTCTTATATTTTTCTAAATGATATCTATTATATCTTTTGTGTTGTTTTCTGTGTGTTGAGTGCTGCCATGATAGTGGCACTTTTGTGTACTTTTTGTTATCCTGGGTTGGCAGCACTCTTTGTTTTTTGTTTCTGTTTTTATTGTCTTTTTTTATTCTAATTTTAACCCGAAATAATTTGATTTTGAAAAAGGTGACAATCCCTTAAACAAGACAAACATACTCACAATGCTTTACACAAACTAAATCTCAATATGAAGTTTAGGGAGTGAGTTATTTTAGTTGTGAGAAGAAAACCCTCATCACTGATAGGAACTGAACCCATTACCCAGGAATTGGAAGGCAAGCATCTTAACCACCAAGCTATTCAACTCCGCTTCTGCTTCTTGCGATTTCGCCCCTGGTTTATAGTAAGCCTGGCTAGCATGGTTTTTAATAGTCTGGTGGCTTGGCACCTTGAATGACAATCACATTGAGAGTTATACTGGTCCGTTACTGTACATGTTGTAGTTTAGAATGGGTGGCCCTGCCAAAATTTCCAGATTGACGACAAATAAAAATCTATTTTTATTCAACATAGGCATTGTGTTTGACTCAAACATGAAAAAAAGATGGTCATTAAAACAAGCGTAGCTTAAACGTTGTCTTGAATACATCGTACCTAATAATCATTAGCTTTTTGTAAAATTTGTTTTTAAAATATTGATTTTTGGCCTTATTGTCTATCGTGTCTCTCTTGCCTAGTCTTGCCAAATCTTGAGCTTTTATTCCTAAGGCCAGCTGGGCTCCAAACATCAGCCAATTAATAGTCAGTCAGCCAGCCTTGATCGTAAAAAAAACTCTCTGAATCATCCTTGCACAGTATTTATAACGTAGAATATTACACAATATACAATTTCAACATGGTATACTGTAGTGGAAATCCCATGCAGATCATTTTGGGCATGCCTATCGATATGCATAGTTTTCAAGCAAACAGTTTTTGAGAATGTTTGTGCTCTGCCCACTATAGAGTGACCATAATGTCAATGAAAATGATATTTTTCTATGCTATAAGGTAACTTTTATTAATACTGAAGTTCTGCATCATTTTAAAAAGGTATGCACAAGGATTTTTTCTGAAAAACTTAATAATTCAGTATAGAAAAAGTAACCAAATCTATCACGGATTTACAAGGTTTTTGCACCTAATTTTTACCTAATTTCATGGGATTTTGAATACTCTACAAAATATAGGAATATTATTAGCGTTGTTTGTTTCCTATTTCTCTATCAAAATCATGTGCCTAGGTTCTGCCTCACGTTTGATAAACCACAACTTTTGGTCTGGAATTTCCATTGTACAAATTAGGCCTACAATTACTCGTTTAGAGACTGCACACAATACGCAATTTGCAGTTTTATACAAGGTAGATGATACACAAAATATTTGTGTGGAATTATGCACTCGTTTTCAAAAACTTGTGAGGGTAATATGCAGTAGTTCCCATGTAGACTACTTTTTAGTCTGATAAATGCCATCTTGCACTAATCAATCAAAATAAATCCAAAATGTTAAATATAATTAGTAGTGCTAGTAGGAGCAGTATCACTCAGTGGTTGAATTTCTGCTTCTCAACCTTCTATAAGGTCTAAGGTTCAATCCCTCACTGTGCAGTTCACTGTTGCCCTTGGGTAAGGCACTTTACAAGTAGTTGTCTCTCTCCACCCAGATGTACAAGTGGGTACCTGGTAGTTTCAAATACAAAATGCGCTGATTACTAGCTGCATTTTGAAATTCTCGCCAGAGAGCCGAGTATGGATTCCATGTGTTTGATCCAGTGACTGAGAGATAATAATTTAAGTTCAGTGTGTTGTTTGTTTATGATCTAACTTGACAGGTGTAACATGGACCTACTAAATTGCTAAAAAAAAAATATAAATTTGAATTTTTTGCCTAACTCGAATAATTTCTAAGTCCATCTTATTTGACATGTCAAATTGTTGTGTTCTCCATTAACAATCTGTAAGTAGAATTTTATTTAAGTCAAACAATTTTTTAGTGCCATTTTGAATTTGACTTAGGCAAGTTAAACTGTAGTACATACCAAAGTACAGGTAAAGATTACAATAGTATACCAAGATATGCTTTAACCCCAGGAGCATGCATTAAAATTCATGCTAAGAATCTAGAAATTCATATAAATCATAAATTACGTTTATCATGTTTAAGTTGATAAAAACAACCTTTATTGATTGAACGTTCGTTGTTTTCATACCAATATTCCATGGGGATTCCTAAAAATGTAAGGCTTAACCATTGCCATTGCCTAAAATACATTTATACCCCGCTGGAAAATGGACGCCCTCAACGCATGCACGTGGCTCTGCAAATACAGTACTTGAGATTCACTTCCCCGACATGATATTGTTGGTGTTCTTAACTCTCTGGTTACAATTAATTCATGAAATACCGTAAAAGAAGATTTGTTAACGTCTGAAGTTATTTTATTAGTCAACAAAATACAGTAGATCTAGGCCTACAGTACTGCCACAAACTATTGCAATTTTACCTGCGCATAGGCTTCGTAGATACATCGTAGCCTGATATAAACAATCTAAGCAAGGCTACGCGAAGCGAACC